TCTCATAGTCGTGCATGCCGTAGTCGTTAGACCATTGACCTCGCATCCCTACAAAGCCGGGACGGAGCACGCCGGGTTCTCACCGGACCAGGCGGGCCGTGGTAGGGGAGGGACGTATAGGAAAACGTAATGTCTTCTTCTGGGGCGTGCTCGTGCTCGTAAATCTATCACGGCATCAAGCACGCGTCGCGCTTATCTCGCTCAATCTACCAAACGGATCTCTCTGATTCCTCCGCATCTCATCACTGCAGTTTCCGTACGTACGTACTGAAGATCTTACCCGTCATACTATGCCACGGGTACCCCCAATATATCGAATAAGACCAACCACGCAAAAACTGCGGAGCTAGATGTGCGGCACGCACAATGCATTGCTTTCGATTGGAGAGAGNTGCTTGAAGTGGATCGATAAAACATAGAGCCATCAAAGCAAAGCTTATTCACGGGTACCCCCAATATATCGAATAAGACCAACCACGCAAAAACTGCGGAGCTGGATGTGCGGCACGCACAATGCATTGCTTTCGATTGGAGAGAGGCGGGTATAAGGCAGTAAGGAATTGTTGGCCAAACTTTCGGCAGATAGGTCTACTCGGGAGCGTAAGTGGGGTAGCAACCCATGGTGGAGCGTACATGAGAAGCTGGACGTTGGTGTACGCCCCATCCCGGCGTGTGAGTAGGATCTTAGGCTATGCAAGTCGTCCCTGAACTTATTGTGGTGAAAATGACCTCCCAGGAGGAAAGTAGCCTGTACCGCGGGACTTCGGAGATGATAAATTGGGTGGTCGGGGGACGTCTGGGTGTTAACTAAGCAGAGCGCCCGGCACAAGACTGGGGTACTTGTGTCAGGAGGTGTGAACTTGGATCTAGACTACGAGCCTATGTTGGAGGCGCTATTTAGCGTCGGTGAGCCGGCAAAAGAACTGAAAGGAACCACAACCCCCGCCGGACACTCGGATTGGGAAGGCCGAGTATTCCGTATGCTCTCCTGAAAAAACACGAAAAACAAGTGGCCACGGTCCAGTTGCCGTAGAGATCATGAGGATGGTGAAGAAGCTTGGAGGATGGAAGCAGAAACTGTGGAAGGGAGACAAGTTGGAGCTGCTGCTGTTTGGGATTCCAAGGGACATGACGAGGATAGAGTTCAAGAACTGTTGTGACAGGGAGGGACTGCACTGCCTAGCAAGGGGATAAGAAGGCAGAGAACATGAACACTTCCGGGTGAAATTGATCAAGGGAGACAGC